TATTATTCTTACATTTATCAAAAGTTTACTGAAGTAAGAATAAAGAAGTATGATAAAAATGTTACTTATCAAGTATAATAAACATAGAAAATAATTTTACGTAAAAAATCTTTTTCCTATTAACTTGTCATCCGATGGCTAAATGGCTCACCCGTTTAAAATAATCTATTATTTATTGTTTTAAAAACTACTAAGGATAATAGAAAAATATTAATTATACTTATTTAGATTTTTAATTTATTTCTCATCAATTTGAAAATTACTAGTCATAATGAGGACTTTGAAATAAGCTAAGTCTGTGTTAATGAATAATTATTATTTATAATAATTACCTTTTCATATTTTATTTCGGTCTCTCTTTTAACAGGAAAAATGTTCTACCACCAACGAGGCGGTGTCGATTTTTCAAACGCTCGACACAAATCGCGAGGAAGCTGCGGTTCTTCTTGAGGAAGATCCTTTCTACGACAGCATGTCTACGCACGATCGATTGACCAGGTTGGCCCTGGCAATCGAAACGGACGAGAATATGTCGGCAATCCTTGAAAAAGAACCGCTAGTCCATCTTCAAAACAAAATAAAGAAACTTCAAGATAGCAACAAAGATATTTATAGAGATATATCTGAGCTTCGGAAAAGCTTTCAAGTAATCATTTTTGAAACTATATATTTGAAACAGGAATTCTGTCAGACGCGTACTCTTCAATAAAATAAATATTTGAACGATTTTTGTACTGTAACAGTATAATAATATTATAATATATAATATTATAATATATTCAGTATTATAATATATTATACAATATATGTTATATATTTATACAATATTTTATAATACTTTTTTACATTATACAATACATTATAATACTGAATATATTATAATACATGTTTCAAACATAACATTATATTTTAAACAAGTAAAGAAGTAAAATATTTACCAATACAAAAAATTAAATAATAACATGATTAATGACATTCATAAATTTAATTCGTAAAATTCATAAAATTAATCGAGGATGTTTAATCAGACATTTATCTAACGTGATATGGAAAGAGATTTAATTTAAGAAAAGTCGAAAAACTTTATACAAGAACTTTGTAATCTAAAAAATTCTTTATATTCTAAAATGACGGTTCGTTTGAAACTTAATAGATTGATAACAGTTTTTAGATTTTGGAAAATACATACAAAAATTCGTTCAAAAATTTTGTTTACAAGAAACTTTTCATTGAAGGCAGTTCTTTTTTTGAAAAAAAAAAAGAAATCAATCTCAGAAAATAATAACTGATTGAATTATTTAATATAAATATTAATATAAATATTAATATTAATATTATATTATTTATATAAATAT